TTATTATACATTGTAGTTGGTAAAAGCAATTTGATTGGCTAAGAGCTAACAGTTAAATCGCGCAATCACGCAACCTACACAAAATTCAGTTATCTGCTAGCAGATAACTCAGTTATCTGCTAGCAGATAACTGAATTTTGTGTTAGGTTGCGTGAAATTGAATGAGTGTACATTTCAAATGAGTGTACATTTCAATTTTCAAATGAATGTACATTTCATAATTGTAATGTTTACTTTAACACGTAAATATTTTAATACGTTAACATCTTAACGATAATATGTTTCTTTTATATTTGTAATTAATTTAACTGTTGGACTTCCGGAGACTTGTTTATAGAAACGTTTTACTTGAACAGCTTTGCCAGAAATCATATTGAATATAACGCTTACCGAGACCTTGATAATTTTGCATATCGCAAAAACCGAACTCAAATAATTGTTTATTATTTAAAATACTATGTTTCTTATTCTTCAAATGTATAATAAAACAATTATTGAATTCGGTTTTTGCGATATGCAAAATTATCAAGGTCTCGGTAAGCGTTATCAGCCTCGCCTTCGGCTCGGCTGATAACGCTTACCTCGACCTTGATATTTCCGCATATCACAAAAACCTCATCCAATAATTGTTAATTATTATACATTGTAGTTGGTAAAAGCAATTTGATTGGTTAAGAGCTTACAGTTAAATCGCGCAATCACGCAACCTACACAAAATTCAGTTATCTGCTATAGTAGATAACTGAGTTATCTGCAAATGAGCCTGCGATTATTAGCAAGCGGTATCTATTTAACACAAACAAATGTATAATAAAACAATTATTGAATACGCTTACCTCGACCTTGATAATTCCGCATATCACAAAAACCTCATCCAATAATTGTTAATTATTGGCACTGCGCGTATACGCAGGCACAGACAGTTCAAGAATTATCACTTATTTACTGAGACCGAGGGAAACAGTGTGTTTTGTGGACCCGAGACTGTCGATGTTTGTGGACCCGAGACTGTCGATGAAACACCGACGGTCGAGGGTCCACAAAACACTGCTTTCCCGAGGTCTCAGTAAATAAGTGTTTTATTATATATCAATAGTCAAAGAAACAACAAATTAAAGAACAAATGAACGTAAATACATGAAATATTTTATTGTTAAAACGTTATATTAATTAAACACTGGCTACACTGCAGTTACTTAAAGCGAAAGTTTTAATTACGTACTCGGCATGTCCAAAGGTCGCACCTTCACGTCATGGCGCACGTGATTTTTTTTGTTATTCGCCGGTCGATAACGTTTTATCTCCCTCTCGCGCTGTTGCGAGGGAGACAGCCTAATTTCGTCACTCTCACGTGATATGCTCTCAACCAATAAAACACTAGAAAAATGCGACTTTGACTATTGATATATAATAATAATATTTAATTCAAGAATAATAATAATAATACAAGCTTTCATTGGTATAGGGATGCCAAGGGTGGGTAGTGGCGAAGTTGTTATAGTTCGGTACTGTAGCGAACTACAATTTTCAAGTAGCCAGTATAGTTTTTTACTACTTTATTAAAACAGTAGCTGTAGTTATAGCGAACTACATTTTGCCAAAAAGTAGCCATTTCCAAAGTATAGTTGACTACTTTTCAAACAGCAAATCGCTATTCGCTACTTTTTAAAATTGTTAGCAACTTGATAGAATAGCATGATATTGAGACACGGTTTGCTTAAAATCAATACTCAATAGTCAATTTGCACTCTTGATCACTGTAGTGCTTACAAAAATGTTGCTTTGTGTTTACTGTTGCTACTCGTAAGTCGATTTGTTATAGGTTACATTTCAGCCTGAGTTAGTAGATGCTCCAAATACAGTAAAACTAAAAAATATAGCGTAGCGAAATAGCGAAATAGTTCGCTACATTTTTTAAGCAGTAGCTGTAGTCAGTAGCGAACTACCTTTGTTCAAAAGTAGCAGTAGTTGTAGCTAACTACATATTTTTGAAGTAGCTGTACTTATAGCGAACTACAAACATTTTGTAGTCAACCCACCCTTGAGGGATGCAACTATATATATACCTGGGGCCCGTTGTATAAAAAAGTGATTAAAGTTAACTATAATTAAGTGCAAACGTCATCCAATAATAAGAAGCGCGTATTTGTATAAAACTCTTAATCACTATTTTGTAGTTAAATAGTGATTAACTCTCAAATAGGCGCTTCTTATTGGATGACATTTCCACTTAACTATGATTAACTTTAATCACTTTTTTTATACAACCGGTCCCTGGAAATTATTATTCCCATGCATTTTATCCTCTTATAGTATGGGTCTTATTTTGGAATGGCAATTTGTGCTGCTGATTTTAATGGTGATAGGTAAGTGATTTTATATACGAATATTGTATAATGAAATCAGTGACGGACACTGTCGCCTCTCCCAAAACCTGCAAACCTTTGAATGTAACCACAGCTGAAACAATGATTTCATAACAGTGAAAGTCTGGATATAGGTTATAATTTATGAAGATTTGCGTAAAATTTAAGCCCAAAAGTCCTAGTATATGTTGACGGTCACCCCCCATGCAATGCTGTATTTTGTGAAGTAAAACATAGAGTTCATGCATTTGAAAAACCTCAGATTGCCAGTAATATTTGGTTATGTTGTGCTGCTATATACGTAATCATTGTACTTTTAATTATTAGCATTTCTGAAATCGTCGTCGGAGCTCCATATTTCGCCGATTCTGTTGGCTCGCCAAGCATTGGAAAAGTTTATGTGTACAGTATTAAGGTTGGAAACACGTACTGTGTATTGAAAATACTCGATCTCTAAATTTGTGTTGAAACCAAGATATGCTGCTTTATATAAATATAATAGTTTTGTTTGTGGAAACACCACGTAAATTTATTACTGCAAAGCTTTCGATCCGTAAGCCCGGATCTTCATCAGTGCTAATAATATGTGACTTGTTTAATTCACACGCCCTTTTTATATACAAAAGTGTCGTGATCTGTTGGTTCGCGTCATTTTAAATTTAATTAAACGGCACATCAACCACGTCATTTCAAACGTAGTGAAGTGATTCCAATTAACACGCGCTCATCCAAGACAAGAGAAATAAAATTTTGCACATTAAAGAGAGCACGCCACGTACTATCTAGTGGCTTTCCCTCTTGATCTATAGTATTGTGCTTCTCGATTTCAATTGACTCTCTCATTTTGCAAGAGAACTTATGACTATCAATCGCCAAAATGGTTGCTTCGTCCCATTTTATACGATGGTCGTAAGTCCATGTATGTTACCAATGTAAACTAGACCATATTCACAAGGAATGCGGTACACACCAGGTTTCTGAGATTCATTTACCTTGTCTTTATGTGTGCAAAGAGCTCGAAACAATTTGTTTTCGCTGGAATGGTATACCTTTATACCTGCTTCATTTCTCAAAATTCTTTCAATTTTGTGTGAAGCCGGACCAATGTATGGTAGACAAACAGACGACTGATATTCAATCTTCAGGGGCCGGTTGTTCAAAAGCCCGATTAACGCTAACCTATAGGGTTAAATTTGCTTAACCTATAGGGTTAAATTTTAACCCTAGGTTACTTTGCGTTGTTCAAAGCTAGTTTATCCTTAACCCTCGGTTAAAACAAAGGTTAAATTTAACCCTCCTCGCTAGGTGGGTTACAGGGTCTTAGCTAGGATTTTAGATCTTGGGCGTGTTTCTAAATGACCTGGGTGTGCGTATTTCTAGTTATGCTCGCCAACAACAGACAATGCCTG